AACATTTTCTTTTCTCTAGTTTATGTTATTGTAAGAATATAGTATATAATACATATAACATATAAAATATGTGTCAATTGACTGTTTATGTTTTTGGTGAGGCTTTCAGTCAATAGTAGACTATTAGTTAAGTTCTTGGGGAATCAAAAGTTACATGTGGATTTTTTACTACATGGGGGGATTGGTGCCCCTGTCCCCTGCATTCTTCAAGGATCAACTATATTTTGTTGAAGACTTTTTAATTATTTCGGTAATATACACATAACATAAAATTCACCATTTCAACCATTTCAATGTGTCCAATTCAGCAGCACTTGGTACATTCACACTGTTGTGCAATCATCACTGCTATGTAGTTCCAGAACATTTTCATCACTCCAGAAGGAAATCCCATACACATTAAACAGTTACTCCTCATTCTCCTCTCTTCCTAGCCCTTGGCAACCACTAATCTACTTTTTGTCTCCATGGGTTCACCTATTCTGCATTTTGCTGAGGATTTTTACATCTGTATTCATAAAGACTATTTGTCCATAGTTTTGCCCAGGTGTGAGGCAAAAATGAAATTCTTTCTATTTAGAGAATGACTATTATAAATTCTTTATCAGTAAGCAACCCATAAAGAGGCGACCTAGCCTTTCTGCCAAACACAGTCATTCACAGGCCCCTTTGTATCCAATTCATTTGGCAAGGGAGGGAGGTATACAGAGAAAAGGAGGCGAGCAGTCTTTCAGCTTTGTCTCCCTTCTGTCTTGTGAGAAAGAAGGACTCTGAGAAAAGTGCTGCCCAGCATGACTCCAGGCAAAATGTAAACATTTGTTCTCTTTGCCTTCAAATCTCCCTCTTGTGCTGCTGTGTCCAGCCCCTAGTGGCCTCAAGTAGCCAGGTCCTGGGATTAGATCTCTGAGGTCTCTGGCCCCTAGCTGGGACCTTAGGCCCTGAGAGTACTCTCATAATTGGTTCCCTGTTGAGTGCTCCTTCCCCACAAGCCCTACTAACTGACCAGATGGCATCCACTTGCTTGAGTCACATGTTCTTGTTTGCTAAGGGCCTCCCTAAGTTACCCTGTCCAAATTCTCTGATCATGAGGAATGTCAAGCCCTGAAGCTGTTAAAAGGAAAAAAAAAAAGGTGACTTGGGAGAGTCCAAGTCTCTTGGAGAGGCAAAGAAGGAGGTATTTCTGGAGAGCAGGGTGTTCTTTAGGTATTTTTCAAGTAATGTACAAAGGCAAGTTCGTTATTTGGTGAAGGTGGTTCAGGGAATGGGGAGTGAGAGGTCATACTCCTACCCTCACAGTGCCCCTCAGAGCCCAAGTCCACCCTACTGCTTTGTTGAGAGCCAGAAGTCTCTGGCAACATTTTTTTTCCCTTCATGGAGGCTTCCTGGCTCACACTTCTCCAGACCCCAAAGACACTCACAGGCTCGAGATGATGTCATTGGAGTGTTTTCAGATAGAGAATTTAAGACTTTCTCTGACTTCATGTGCTTTGTGTTTACAGCTGAACTCAAACTTTACAAGACTTAGGTTCATTTACCTTTAGTCAAAAATTCCCTTTCTTGGCTCCATTTCTAAATACACATGGGCCTCTAAGTCTTCTTGGCCATCAGGTACCTATTGATCATAAGTGCCACATACCTAGGTGGGACTAATGTGGTTGACATGTCCTTTGAAGTTGAAATAGCTTTGGAAATGAGTGCAGTATTGCTCACATGATGTCAACTCACATGTTTGAAATATAGTGTGTGACATTTGACAGGCTTCAAGCACATGGAAAGACAGTCATTCTTCTTATAGAACCAGAGACTCAAAAATAGGGGAGTACCTTTCCATCAGGGTCTGCTTCTATGATGAAGAATGCTATTTCTGGGGCATCTGGGTGGCTCAGTCTGTTGAGCATCTGACTCTTGATTTCGACTCAGGTCATGATCTCAGTGTCCTAGGACTGAACCCTGTGTGGGGTTTCATACTCCGTGGCGAGTCTGCTTGAGGATTCTCTCCCTTTCCTTTGGCCCTCTCTCACCACTCACATTCTCGCTCTCAAATAAATAAATCTTTAAAAAAAAGAATGTTATTTCCAAACCTTGGGCAAGCAGAGGGATATTTGAATAGTTTGGGAATTTTAGTAGGCAGACCTACTCTTCACCCCTGCCGTTACTGTGGGGGGCAGTCCCCACTGAATCCCTAAGCTTTTTTCTTACACCTGCATGGCTGATAAAAGCAATTTGCCAGATGTACACAATGTACTTCTTCCTGAAGAGTATTCCAGATGGTTCAGTGTTGGCCATTTTCATGGCCAAACCAGAGAAGGCAAATACCGTAAGTAAGCTCCCACTTCTCCTGTCTTCACTCCTAGCAGGCCTTAGAGCACTCTTTTCCATCAAGTTGGGTTGAGACCACAGAATCCTCTATTCAGCACCCCCAGCAATCTAGACCAGTTGCCTGGAGTTGATATACAAAATAATAATAACAACTAACATTTTACTGAGGACTTACAGGTCATGCACTGGCTCGGTGCAGTACATGCATTATTTTTTTTTTTTAATTCACACATTACTCTTTTTATGATACTATTATTTTATAGACAAGAAAACCAAGGCCAAGGGAAGTTATCTTTGCCAAGGTCAAACTGGCAGAACCTGGGCTGGAATTCTGTTCTGACTTCAGACACTGACCTTTCCACCATTACATTATGCTAGTTCATTCATTCATTCAACAAGTATTTAATCTGCACCAGGGAGATGTTGGCATTGTTCTAAGCACTGGGGGTACAGCAGTCAGAAGAGCTCTATCCAGTAGAACAGGACGCTGTATGGGCCTCCTGGAGGAAGGATCAATGACCCAACATTGGGTAATATGTCCGTTTACTAGCAGGATGAGGGATCTCCTAAATGTGAGAGCTCCAAATTTGAGCACAGGATGTGTATGAAAAATACAAAGCAAAGGAGCAGTGGTGGAGTTTGAGCTCAGCTCTGGTCCCGTCAGGGCTCTGTGTGCTTAGTATAAGCAGTGGCTCTTGCTTGATGTGGAGAACAGGCCCATTCATCTCTATAACTCTATAAAGGTCAACCACCCAGGGCCTCTCTAACCATAGGCCAGCCTGTAGCTTCTCAAACACCCCATGTCTGCTTTTCTTTTTTGCCATTAGCAGCTGGATGTGTGAAGCTCACAGCTCCCTGCAAGGAGCCCTGGGGCAGGTCACAGGTGGGGCTGAGCTCACCCTTCCTATAGATACGTTTCTCCCTTGTGAAGGGCAAGGAGATAGATCAAAGGACACCTGGGCCCATTTGCTTGATAGGGAGACCCGGGGGAGCTGGAAAGGAAGAGGGAGGAGGGGACTGGGCAGCCTAGAGCCGTGCCATGATTTATTGGCTTGTTTTGCTCCTGCACTTCTGTTTACCCAGCTGGGCCTGTTGCTGCCCAGGGTACCGGCATGTGCATAGCCACTCTGGCCAGCCTTTGGGGTAGCATCCGAGAGAGCTGTGGACTTGGCCAGCTCCTGGCAAAATTGAAGCAGTTGAGTTTGTGTTTTCTATTTGCAAGTTCCCGGCCCCACTAGGCTTTTTCTCACCTCCATGAGGCACCCCTCCACACACACACAGACACACCCAAGTCTCAGCCACGAGGCCCCTCAGCCCTTCTTTTCCTTGGTAGAAAATGATGTTCCCCAGGCTTCTAAGTCACACTTACATGAACAGGTAAACATCTGCCAAAAGTCTCGAGCCTAATTCTTCTAGCATTTTCAAATGCTGGACACTTTTTTAAATTAATCCATTCAAGAGCAGATTGCCTCTGGAGAGGAAGTGAAACAAATAGCTTATGAAAGAGTTGTGGGTCCAAGAACATGAACCAAGTCCCGAGTCCAGGCGTGGCTTCTTTTGGCTAATTGATGAACAAAGTTAATACAAATCCCAGCATCTCAATGATGCTCGCTGCCTCGCTTACACAGCAATAGAGAAGTCTTGACAGCCCCCAAAGTAGAATGATTTCAGAACTCTGTGTGTGTGTGTGTGTGTGTGAGTGTGAGTGCGTGTTCATGCATGTGTGTGTGCAGAAGGGGGGGCAGCCAGGATTTCAGGATCCAACGGGGCCGTTCCAGGCACATGTGGTCAGTGGTCTGTCAGTGGGTAGAGTCAGCTCTACTATTCTTACAAACCAACCCAATCTGAAACCAAACAGAAGGAACTGGTGGCAGAGGGCCTCTGGGCCTTGCATGGCACTGGGAGTGATGCGTCTGAGTTAGACGAGCCTGATTGGGGGTTTCCAATCCAAGCTCTGCTACTTATTAACTGTTTGGCCTGAGGCAAGTGGCTTAGCCTTTCTGCGTCTCAGTAGAAGACTCTGTTACAGGGGAGTAACACTCACCTTTCTCCATTGTTGTGAAGATTAAGCACAAGAGTGTGCCAACCACTGAGCAACTGGTCTATGTGCTAATAATACCTGGTGGGGGCTGTTGGCAGTCCAAGACGAGCGTTCTGGAGAGCAGAGCATGGGGCACTGGAGAGCTTTAGCCCTTCGGGCACTCATGCCTAATGTTTCCACACTTCAGAGGAAAGTTTGGAAGATGGAAGCTATGTAAGCAAAAGGTGGTATGTCCATACGGTGGCATATCATTCAGCCTTAAACAGGGAGGAAATTCTGACACCTGCTGTACATGACAGATGAAACTTGACGACATGAGGCTAAGTGAAATCAGCCTGTCACCAAAAAAAAAAAAAAAAAAAGAAAAGAAAATTCTGTGTGATTCTGCTTACATGGGGGCACCTAGAGTAGTCACATTCCTAGTGACAGAAAGTAGAATGGTGGTTGCCAGGGGCTTGAAGTTGGGGCAAAAGGAGTGTTGTTTGATGTGTAGTTTCAGTCTGGGAAGACGAAAAGAGGTCTGGAGAAAGATGCCCTGCCACAGGGTGAATGCGCTTAATGCCCCTGAACTGGACACTTGAAAATTGCTAACATGTCAATTTTATGGCTTTTCTGGTGCCGACGATCACCCCACAAGAATATGCCCCTTACGAAGGACTTCCTCCACCCATCCCTGGAAGAGGCGAAGAGGAAGCACAAGAAGAAGAAGCACCTGGCACTGAGCCCCAGCTCCTGCTTCACAGGCATGAAGTGCCCGGGATCCGACAGAGTCACTATCGTCTTGAGCCATGTACAAACCGTAGTTTTGTGTGTTGGCTGCTCGACTGTCCTCTGCCAGTCCACGGGAGGAAAAGCGAGGCTTACAGAAGCAGGCTCCTCCAGACAGATGCAGCACTAAAAGCACCCAAGACGGAGAGGAGTGGGAAATGATCCCCATACACACATTTTGGATTTAAAAAAATGTCGAGGCATCAGGCGACCCAGTTGGTGAAGCCTCCGACCTTGATTTCAGCTCAGGTCCTGATCTCAGGGTCCTGAGATTGAGCCCTGCTTTGGACTCTGCGCTCTGCACAGAGTCTGCTTGTCCCTCTCCTCTCCCTTACTCTCAGCTGTCTCTGTTTCTCTCTCCATCTCTCTCTCTTAAATAAATAAGTAAATAAATAAATAAAATCTTTTAAAAAATGTCAATTTTATGTTCTGTGCGTGTTGCTGCAGTTAAAATGAAAAATGTGGAGCATTACTGGGATTCGGGGTATACCGGTGAGGAATGAGAGAAAAAAAAAAGAAAAGCTCTGACAAAGAGACGGACATGCCAGGGAAAGCCTTGCTGGGATTCTACTATAGTCTACCCTACTATGAGAGGGGAGCCGATTTCCGTAAAGGGACAGAGACAGACAGACAGACAGAAAAAAACAGAAGCAAGAAAGGAGAGGGGCCTGGGGCTATCAGTGTCAAACAAAAGCTATGAAGAAATGAAGGTTTCTGAGCTCTGAAAATGCAGCAAGCCAGGAGAGAGGAAGGCTCCCTCTGGAGACCGTGGTCACCCCCAGCAGGTTTGAGTCCCCAGCCCATTCGGGCCTCGGCTGGGTGCAGATGGGGAAAACCCCAGGAGAGAAGGAGGAGGTGGTTTGGGCTGGCCTGAGGTAAAAACGGCAGATCCACAAATGGAGGGGCTCAGCAGAGCGGCTGGGACCAGTGGCGGGGACCTCTCTCCCCAGTCTCAATCCTTGTAGGCTCCATAGGGCCCCTGGAGGTTGCCTTCTCCTTTGGTTCAGCTGCCTGACTTCCCTGGAGAGGAGGTGGTGTGGGGGTGGGGGGAGAGGGGGACGGTGGCCAGTCCTCACATTCCCAGGCGCCCACTTCCTCACCCAGCCACGTTGCCCCTGCACACGTGGCCCCGGGCCGTGTAGACACACCTGAGTCCAGGAACGACCCAAGCTGCAGGGAACCCAGCCCAGGCACGGAGGTAATTAGGCACGTCTTCTCTGCTCCTGAAGTAATGTTTGTCTTTCAAATTCTGCCAACCAAAATGGCTCAGGCTGTGATTTACCATCACCACGTTATGTCATACTTCCTTACTGCTTTTATGACCAAGAAAGACGCCAGGCACAGTAGCCATATTATGTCCTAGCAAACTCCTGCCTAAATTAAGTCACTATTTCTGGTCCCTGTCTCTGGTCAAAAATGACATCCAAGGGTAATTGGTGTTTTAGGGGCACATTTTAAGGCAAATGCAAAAAAAAAAAAAATGAATGTGCCTATTTTCTGGCTGAAATTTGCATCCGTCTTTTTACCCTCTCTTGGCAAACATGTTTTATGTTTATTTAAACGGTCCTTAATAAAAATGTACAGCTGCAAAGCATCTTACTACTCAATGCTTTCTGGTTAAGAAAATTGCCCATAATCACAGTTGACTTTCCTATTCGTAACACAATATTATTTTTCATCGGAGCGTGGCTGTGGCCCAAGGTGCAAACGTTAAACACAGTTGGGAGGCTTATCTGAGGTCGCAAGCACTTCATTCATTCAGTCCTCCAGTCAATCAACAAACTGATTTTGTGGACTTATTAGGTGGGGTTTTAGACCTTTTGGAGCGGAGGGAAAAGCACATGCAGAGGCGTGTGAGAGCATGGCAGGTCCCTGATGTGACAAGAGGAGCCATTGTTAGCCACAGCTGATGTGTCGTGATTGGTTGTAAAGTGTTACCATAAATAATTTGTCTCTGATAGGAGTGAATGCACCGACATTGCCGAGTGATTTACTGTACTTACAAGTTGGAATGGATTCAAGGTTATCCTCCTAATAACAGCATCACTCGTGCCTACTTGTGTTTCAGTATGTTTTAATGAGAGAGAAAAAGGGCCCAATTAATAGCTGGCATGCCAAGAATTGTGTAGTCCCCAAGTACACCCATGGGGATATGTCATGCATGTGAATGTCATCTGTCAGTTGTTTTGCAGTTTCAAATTGGAGCAGCCCACAAGGTGTGTGTTATCGGGAGAGTGAAGAGAGAGGAACTTGGGGAGGCGAGATGGATAGGTGTGGGTTTTCAGAGCTGTAGTACCCACATTTTCATTTGGATTGCCCCCAAATTTTGCATAGCAAATTGTCATTGAAATTGCTGCTCATTTGTGAGGTTCCAGTATTTCCCCCGATACAGAGATGAGATCTTAATTAGTAACTGTCAACCCATTCTCACAAATTTAGCTTGTTTTGGAGAACCCATAATTATACTTGTTGCAGTCAACTACTTGTAGCATTGGCCACATTGTGTGTTGAGCTCCTAAAAATCAGAATGTGATCGAAGAGGCAGTTTCCAGGTTAGGTTTCATGGAGTGACTGTATTGGGGACTTCATACGTCTTGGAAAACAGATGGAAAATCCCAGTAATGAGTCAACCTAGAAAAAGGAACTTACTGATAATGAACTTGATATGCTATCTCTCTTAAGTCCATGGAGGACTGTTGGGGTACAGAGAAAGGATGCCTATGTTGCCTTACCTTTCCAATATAAAGTGGATTTCTGGACTTGACCAGAAGACATTAAGAGTGATACCTCATATGATGTGCAAATAGAATAACTGATTGGCTTGGTGTTCTGATTGGAAGGGTACTCAAAATGTTTCCCTGCCCCTGATAACACTCTCCCACTGGTACTTGATTTTCTAATATTAGAAATTGTGGTGGAATCATTTGTTTTAAAATTATGCTTTAGGGCACCTGGGTGGCTCAGTTGGTGAAGCAAATGCCTTTGGCTCAGGTCATGATCCCAAAGTCCTGGGATTGAGCCCCACATTGGGCTCCCTGCTCAGCAAGGAGTCTGTTTTTCCCTCTAACCCTCCCCCTTCTTGTGCTCTCTCTGTAACTCCCTCTCTCTCTCTCAAATAGATAAATAAAATCTTTAAAAAAAATTATGCTTTGTTCTTTGAACTATTTTATTATTTTCTATTTCTATGCTTTGGGAAAGGAGGGTAGTTCTCTTTAAAATAAGAAGCACATTCAGGAATTAACTGGAAGCCTGCTAGGATTGTTGTTAGAAAACCAGTTGTGGGGGCGCCTGGGCGGCTCAGTGGGTTAAAGCCTTTGCTTTCGGCTCAGGTCATGATCCCAGGGTCCTGGGATCGAGCCCCGCATCGGGCTCTCTGCTCAGCGGGGAGCCTGCTTCCTCCTCTCTCTCTGCCTGCCTCTCTGCCTACTTGTGATCTCTGTCTGTCAAATAAATAAAATCTTTAAAAAAAAAAAAAAGAAAAGAAAACCAGTTGTGTGTAGATGCGACCTCAGTAATTAATCAGTGAGCATCTAGCCGCCAAATATCTGATGGGAGGGAGGAGGCCCTCCCCTTCGAGAGGGAGAAAATGACTCCCTTCTGATTGAAAAAGCACCATCCCAGACCTTCTTGCTGCTGACATGCAGATGTACATCTGGCTGTAATCTCTTGCTCCCTGCTAGCCTTTGCCAAGATGTGTGGATCAGAAATCCAGTTTCTCCCCCATGGAAAGAGACAGAGAGAAATTGAATAGTGAGATAGTTAAAATTCTGAGCACTGGCTAGGAGAAGGAGCATGCCCAAAGCAATAAAATGACTCTCACTTAAAAACCATGGCTGCAGAAATATTCGAGCCATTTAAACAACTGGCAGAGTTGATTGGGGGTGAAGGGAGTAGGAGTCTCCGAGCTCTGGACGAGACTTGATACTCTGCAGACAAACCAAGAAATATTTAAATTGTGTTCAGTCCACTCCAGGTCGATGAGCAGGATAGAATCAATGTTTGATCAAATTTGAAGGGATTTGTTTGCACGTAGGTGTCCGTGTTTTCATAAACCTGGCTCTAAATTTTATTCCATGTGGAGTTGTTTTAAATGCAGTTCTATTTATAAAGAATAAAACCATCACCGAATGAGAAGATGTTCTATTCTCTCTGAGCTGTCCAACCTAACGGGAGCCTATCACTTGGTCGGAGTGATGGCAACTTACCCAAACTGCACGACTAGCACATGGGAGGAAGATAACTCCCTTTAAATTTTGTCTTCAGAATTCATAACCCACCGTTCATAAGTGAGAGCAAATCCGACAGTGCCTCAAGCTTTGGATTAAACACTGCAGCCTTCTTTAAAAATAAAAGTGTCCTTGGAAAGGTTATAAGGTTATAAGTTACTAGTACCTTAATATGGTGGTTCCCTAAATTGAATATTTAACAGAAACATCTCACACCACACCTTTCACTTATACTGAGAGCTTTCAAAATACAGGGAAATTCAGAGAAGAATATAGCAAGTACTTATGTTCTTGCCATGCCGAGTGGAAATACACTGCCACATTTATTTTGTTTTCCTTTTTTAAAAGATTTATTTACTTGAGAGAGAGAGAGAGAGAGGAAGAGAGAATCTTCAAGCAGACTCCCCACAGAGCACGGAGCCTGACACGGGGCTCGATCCCACCAACCATGAGATCACACCCTGAGTGGAAACCAAGAGTCAGATGTTTAACTGACTGAGCCACCCAGGTGCCCTTGTCTTCCTTTTTTTTTTTTTTCTTTAAATAAAAAGAGTAAAATACGTAAAGAAAAGCTGAAGTTCCCTTTATCTCCCACTTACTGTCAACCCGTTCTCAGCACTGTTTTCTGAGATGGGTCCACGTAGGTATGTACTAATCTCAGTCATCTCACTGCTGAACAGCAACCTACAGTACAACCATTGGCACTTAATTTACTCATTCCCCAGTCGATGTACATTTAGATTGTTTCCAATTTATTTTGCTACTAGTCCAACTAGTGGTCTACATGTTCCCATGACACCATACCACTGGCAACTTCTGAGTTTTAATTTTTGCCGGTCTGACAGTATTTCCCTGAATGCTACTGAGGTTGAGCATCTTTTCATATATTTGTAGATCATTCCAGTTCCTTCTGCTCATTGCCTATTGGTATTCTTTGCCCGTTTTTCTTTTTGGTTGGTTGCCTTTTCAAAATATATTTATTATATG